GGGGGAGGTTGACATTTCTTGAGGTAAGAATGGTGGGTGGGTGGGTGGGAATAGGGAGGGAATTTGGCAGGAGGCAGCTTACATCCTCCTGCTTAGAGTAGATCCTCGGGAGAGGGAGTGGTGGGGAAAGAATATTGAGTCCCAGAAAAGAAGAGGGAGACAGTTCTTGCATGCTGGGGAAATGGGACTGTGGGTTCAAGGCTTGCTGAAATTCAAGGGAGAACAAAGTAAGGTGCCAGGTAAGAGAACATGGGGTGAGCATCCTGGATAGATATTGGGAAGTGGGGATACAATAGCAAGAACAATGAATAGTGGTGGGGTGGGGGTAGGGCACGTAGAAGAAAGGACACAAGAAGGCTTTGGGAGGGAGGGAGAGGAGTAGAGACTTATACAGTATTTTCTAAGAAAACAAAACGTATTTTTTAGGATTTTTTCTGGAGTTTGGGGTTTTAGTTTTTCTGGTTTTGTTTTCCACAAAATAAAAAAAACAAAAACTTTTTTTTCGTTATACTCTGGCCGTTGCGTGTATGACTATCCTACGCTAGACAGCCTCTCCCTCTAATGCTGTGTGCTCAATACCTAAAGTCAAAACTCAAGCAGGTCCCATGCCTGAAGCAGCCCAGTCCTAAACAGGGGAGGAGAGTATGACAAGTGAGTTTCTTTAGCCAAGGACATCCCCACCTCCTGCCAGTTTTGCAACTTCAATACCTAGCCAGACACCTCACAACATAAGTAACTGGCGGTTGTGGGAATACACATGAACTGCTCCTCCATCCGAGGGATTTGGTATCAGTGCTAGGGATGAGCTACAGGTGGCCAACGTGCCACCTATAGCAGGAGACTGTGTTTGGGCATTTTGGTCTGGGGAAATGGTTCATGTCATCAGGAGAAAAAAAAAAAAACACCCCGCTAAGTTTGGATTAGGGTGCAGGGAAGACTACAATTCCCAGAAAGCTCTGGACTAGTTAACCAAAGAAAACTACAGTTCCCAGAAGGCCCTGACTTGGCCTCAGGTGCCCCAACCTATGTCAAATACTGCGTGTGAAATACAGGTATTTCCTAAACTGACCAGACTGTAATACCTAAGGGGACGGTACCCTAAATACTGCTACCAAGGCTGTGGATCTTGGTGTATATCATGCATACTTAACTGTCAGCTAGGCTATAACCCACGAAGCGCCTGACTGTGTCTGTGAAGTGTTTGGCAAAAAAAGATTACTTACTGCAGTATCACCAGACAGTAAGTGACGCTCGGGTCGCTGAGCTTAGCTGGATTCCTAATGCGTGTGGTGGCGTAACACCTCTCGCATAAACAGAAGAGACATTTAGGTTTTCAAAACGGGACGCAGCTCCGGGAGACATGAAGCAGCATGCTAGAACCAGCCAAAAGAAAAGACGACCTCGCACGTCCCTATCGCCCCTTTCTTGCCCGTTAGAGAGACGAGGCCAAAACGGAGACCGAGGCTTCTATCTGGTGACCCAGAAACTAGAAAGGCAGAAAAGCAACGAGAGGCGGAACAAGCACAAACGGGCCGAAGGAAAGAACAGCCGCTGCCGGGAGCTTCAGACGCTCTGCTCGTTATCTAAAACCAGGTGGGGATGGAGAAGCCACACCTGGACCCAGACGTGCCTCGCCTCGCTTCCCTGCAGAGCTGAGGCCAGGAATGACAGGAATTTTCCCGAGCAATCCCCAGCTTAGGACAGCCGCAGCCATCCCCGAGGCCACTCTCGGGGGAAAATGGCCAGAAAGCGCGTAGCGGCTCCTTTAAGGCTCCTCCTCGCCCCCCCTCCCTCGCCCACGTGACCC